AGTGGAGCCTGGTCCATAGCATCGCAAAGAATCAGACATGACTGAAGTGACTGAGCACAAGGTAGAGGTGTGACTATTTTTTTCTCAGATGGATAAACAATTGTCCAAACACCATTTACTAGAGTCACCTTTTCCCTCTCTCTTCCATGTCTGTTAATGTTCCAATACCACTGTGAAGTTCTGCAGACAATCTGACTTCTGGTAGCAAGTCCTTCCATTATATAATTATCTTCCAAAATTTTTATGGCTCTGCAGACCCATTTTGTCTTCCAAATGAGTATCAGAATGAGCTAGTCAAACTCCATTCAAGAAGTGATGCTGGGATTCTGATTGAAATGGCCTAGAATTTACAGATTATTTTAGAAAGAACAGACACTTTTAACATTAAATTCACCTATCAGGAACTATGGTATCTGTTTCCTTTCATTCAGACCTTTTATGTCTTTCAGTAAAATCTTAAACTTTTATTCAAATAGATCTTCCATAATTTTTTCTTAAGACCATTCTGAGGCTGTATTCTAAGACTTAATCTCAGATCTATTCTAAATTTTTACTTAGCTTTATAATGATTTATATTGTGATTATTTATTACATTTTCTAAGTAATTGTTACTTGTGTGTACATTTTTTAGTGTTGGTCTCATTTGTTTTTGTTTTTTTAATGAAGCATATTTGATTTTCCCATGGACAAAGGAGCCTGATGGGCTACAGTCCATGGGATCACAAAAAGAGTTGGACAAGACTGAGCAACTGAGCATGCATACATAGTTGATTTACAGTGTCATGTTTCAAGTATACAGCACAGTGACTCATTTATAAATATATATTTGTATTATATGTATTCTTTCTCAGATTCTTTTCCCTTATAGGTCATTACAAAAGAGTATATTCCCCGTGCTATACAGTAGGTCCCTCTTGGCTATATATTTTATATATAATAGTGTGTACATGTTAATACAACAGACTGGTTCCAAATCAGGAAAGGAGTTCATCAAGGCTGTATATTGTCACCCTGCCTACTTAACTTATATGCAGAGTACATCATGTGAAATGTCGGGCAGGATGAAGCACAAGCTGGAATCAAGATTGCTGGAAGAAATATCAATAACCTCAGATACGCAGATGACATCACACTTACAGCAGAAAGCAAAGAACTAAACAGCCCCTTGATGAAAGTGAAAGAGGAGAGTGAAAAAGTAGGCTTAAAACTCAACATTCAGAAAACTAAGATCATGGCCTCTGGTCCCATCACTTCATGGCAAATAGATGGGGAAACAATGGAAACAGTGACAGACTTTATTTTTTGGGGCTCCAAAATCACTGCAGATGGTGACTGCAGCCATGAAATTAAAAGACGCTTTCTCCTTGGAAGAAAAGCTATAACCAACCTAGATGGCGTATTAAAAAGCAGAGACATTACTTTGCCAACAAAGGTCCATCTAGTCAAAGCTATGGTTTTTCCAGTAGTCATGTATGGACATGAGAGTTGGACTATAAAGAAAGATGAGCCCCGAAGAATTGATGCTTTTGAACTGTGGTGTTGGAGAAGACTCTTGAGAGTCCCTTGGACTGCAAGGAGATCCAACCACCCCATCCTAAAGGAAATCAGTCCTGAATATTCATTGGAAGAACAGATGCTGAAGCTGAAACTCCAATACTTTGGCCACCTGATGCAAAGAACTGACTCATTGGGAAAGACCCTGATGCTGGGCAAGATTGAAGGCAGGAGAATGGGACGACAGAGAATGAGATGTTTGGATGGCATTACTGATGCAGTGAACATGAGTTTGAGTAGGCTCTCTCTGGGAGTTGGTGATAGACAGGGAAGCCTGGCATGCTGAAGTCCATGGGGTCACAAAGAGTTAGACATGACTGAGCAACTCAACTGAACTGTTAATGATCTTACATTTATAGACTAGATAGTTTTATTTTGTGTACATAAATTATACATACAGTTTTATACCTGGTTTGATTAGTTAACATTATCTCTTGGGAATTTTCCCATCTTGATACACAAAAATATTACAGATATTTCTGGTTTTGTTTTAAACCTCATACTGTTTCATAGTAAAAACAAGCCATTATCTATACATTCCTGTACTGGTGGATATTTAATTTCAGTGCTTTGTTTTCATTGCAATGCTGTACTGAGCATTTTTTAAATGTTTACCTTTGTTCATTTATGTGATGTGTGACTATAGTTCTAGGTTGAAAATACTCACCAAAGAGCCTGTGAGTTTCAACTTTTAATGGGCACTGAGACTGTCTGTAAACATCCTATCCCAGAAGCCACCCATGAGGGTGTCCATTTCTACCACAGCTGCCAACACATGACACTCAGGACTGTTCGTGGCCCCTTGGACCATTTGTCTGCAATGTGAAGAACAGACTATGTTTTCCTCCCCTTCTTGTTGGCTGTTCTTTTCTTCTAGAACTTCTGTGAGATGAGAATACAGTAGATCTTCGGATTCCTCCATGACCTTCAGCTGCTGTTTCATACTTGCCATTTCTACTGTATCTGGCAGATTCCTCAGATTTATCTTCTTGTTCAACAAGTTCAACTTAAACTGTTTACTGCTCCATCCAGCCCACTTACTATACTGTTTTTATCTCAGTGATATCATTTTTTATTTCCAAGTTATTTTGTTGACCGTTTTTAAAGAAGTAATAACCTCTCACATCTCTGTGTAATTAGGCTCAAACAGTCTGCCCTATTTGCTTTATTACCTCTACCCCTTGGTTCTATAAGTAACCAATTAAAAAAATTTTTTTATAGAACCTTTAATCATCTTTTGGCTGTGTTGGGTCTTTGCTGCTGCATGCAAGCTTTCTCTAGTTGTGGTGTGCAGGCTTCTTGTTGTGGTAGCTTCTCTTGTTGCAGGGCATGGGCTCTAGCGTGAGGGCTCTATAGCTGTGGCACACAGTCTTAGTTGTCCCACAGCCTGTGGAATCCTCCCAGACCAGGAAGTGAACCCATGTCCCCTGCATTGGCAGGTGGATTCTTAACCACTGGTCCATAAGGGAAGTCCAGTATTCAAGTTTTTACTACAAAGTACCCTGGATGTTGCAAAAATAGTACAGAGAGTTTCTGTGTGTTGGCATCTTTCCCTAAATGTTAGCATCAGAAATAACCATAGTACGATTATCAAAAACAAAAAATGAACGTTATACAACATGAAGTGGTTTTCTCCTAAAGATATTGCATGCCACAACTAAAGATCCCACATGCTACAAGGAAGACTGAAGATCCTGAGTGCCACAACTAAGACCCAGTGCAGTCAAGTAAAATGAAAAAAAGAATAGATCTTAAAATATTGTATATTCATACAATGAAATATTGTTTTGCCATAAAAAGGAATGAAGTAGTAATATATGTCGCAACATAAATGAACCTTGAAAACATTATTCTAAGTGAAAGAAACCAAGACATAAAAGGGCACATATTGTCTGATTCCTTTTATAGGAAATGTCCAGAAGAGGCAAATCTATAGAAACAGAAAGTAGATTAGTGGTTGCCAGATGCTGGGAGAAGGGGAGAATGAAGAATGACTGCTTAATAGTAACCAGGTTTCTTTTTGGCCTGATGAAAATATTTTGGAATCAGATAGTGGTGATGGTTATACAACCCTGTGAATATATTAAAAATTATTGAATAATATACTTTGAAATGGTTAAAATGGTGAATTTTTTCTTATTTGAATTTTATCTTAATTTTAAAAAAAAGTTTTACATAGAGTGAGTCTTTGGAAAAAAAATTTAAATAAGTCTTTATTTTTTGAAGATATAAAGATGACAAAATATCCTGGTGTAGGGTTTGCTTTTAAACTACTTCAGGGGGACTTCCCCGGTGGTTCAGTGTCGAAGACTCCACATTCCCAATGCAGGGGGCCTGGGTTCAATCCATGGTCAGGGAACTGGATCCCACATGCCAACTATTAACAAGATCCCACATGCTACAATGAAGAAACAGTACAAATAAATAAATAAAAATAAATATTTATAAAAAAAAAATTAAACTACTTCAGGATGGAAGAGAGGAAACAAAATTCATCATGACTTGATTACTGAAGCTAGATGATGGGGACATGAGTATTTGCTACTGTTCACAATTTCTGTATTTGTTTGAAATTTTCTAAGCCCAGTCTTTTAAAAGTTTTAAAATACCCATCAATTCTATTCCTAAGTATATACCCAGGAGGAATTAAAGTTTATGTCCACACAATGATATGTACCCAAATGCTCACAGCAGCTTTATTCATAACAATTAAAACCTGGAAAACCTAGAAATAGTTCAAATGTAAATGTCCATCAACAGGTGAATAGACAAACTCTGGTTCATTCATATAATGGAATACTACTTGGTAATAATATAAATGAACTTCTAAATACATGCAACAACATGGATGCAAACACTGAGTGAATCAAGTCCTATATGAAAGATTACATATTGTGCACTTTCAATTATATGACATTCTAGAACTTGCAAAATCAATCTATAGTTTTAGAAGTCAGGATAGTGATTCCCTTTGTGGGCCAGTGAGTGGAAAGGAGCACAGAGATCTTCTGGGAGGGCTGGAAGTGTTCTTTCAATATTTCTCCGTCTATCTAAGTGCTGCTGATGTGTCCTCTTTTATATATGCAAGCATGCTCAGTCACTCAGTCGTGTCCGACTCTAACGAGTCATAGCCTGCCAGGCTCCTCTGTCCATGGGATTGTCCAGGCAAGAATACTGGAGTGGGTTGCCATTGCCTACTCCAGGGGATCTTCCCAACCCAGGGAACGAACCTGAGTCTTTCAGTATCTCCTGCACTGGCAGGCAGATTCGTTACCACTGAGCCACACTGGGAAGCCCCTTCTTTTCAGTATAAATACTAACAAATGCCATCATTAAGCCTGATCCATGTTGTGCACCTCGGCACCTATGCCCTGGCACTGGCCCTGTCCATGGAAGACACCTGCATGTGCAGAGCCCAATCCTGGAAGCCTCTGCCGTCAGTGCACCTTCTGGTGCATCTGCAGGTGGACTCTCTGACTGAAGCCCTTCCCACATATGGCACAGGGGTAGGGCTTCTCCCCTGTGTGCACCCTCTGGTGCCTCTTGAGGGCTGAGTGATGCCTGAAGTCCCTGCCACAAGCCGCACATCTGTAGGGCCGCTCACCCGTGTGGACCCTCCGGTGGATACCCAGATCCTTGCTCCAGCTGAAGCACTTCCCACAGGCCTCGCACCGGAACGGCCTCTCTCCCGTGTGAACACGCTGGTGCAGGTAGAGGTTGGCTCTCTGGCTGAAGCCCCGGCCGCATGTGTCGCACAGATAGGCCTTGTCTCCTGCATGGCCCTGCTGGTGTCGAGCCAGTGCAGAGCGCGAGGTGAAGCGCCTGTCACATACGTCACAGGCATGGGGCTTCCTTCCTGTGTGGACACTCTGGTGGATCTGCAGGGCTGCCCTGCGGCTGAAGTCCTTGCCACACTCATGGCAGCTGAAGGGTTTCTCACCTGTGTGGATACGCTGGTGGATGGAGAGGTTGGAGCTGCGGCTGAAGTCCTTCCCGCACACACTGCATCTATAGGGCTTCTCGCCTGTGTGCACTCGCCGATGGATGGACAAGTTGGAGCTCCGGCTGAAGTCCTTCCCACATTCCTCACACGTGTGAGGTTTCTTTCCCATGTGCTCCTTCTTGTGCCTTCTCAGAGCAGATCCTGAGTGGAAAACTCCAGAATACTCCATGCATCCGTATGGCTCGTCTTCTGGGAGCAGCACAGGAAGGTTAAGGTGGGCTGTCCTTTCACTGAAGGCTTTTCCACACCCGGCATATGGAGGCTTCTCTCCAATATGGGTTCGCTGGTGAATTAGGTTTCTGAGCTGGCTGAAGTCTTGGCCATGCTGGGGACAGTTATAGAGTTTTTCTCCTGGAGATACTGGCCAAGACAGGATCCCATCATTCTCATCCCTGACTCCTAGGACAAAGGAAATTAGACGATGAAAGTGAGCAGAGGGGGGGCTTCCCTGGTGGTCCAGTGGTTAAGAATTCACCCTGCAGTGTAGGGAACATGGGTTTGATTCCTGGTCTGGGAAGATCCCACATGCCGGAGAGCAACTAATCCCTTGTACCACAACTACTGAGCCCATACTCTAGAGCTGGCAAGCTGCACCTACTGGCCTGCATGGCTAGAGCCTGGGCTCTGCAACAAGAGAAGCAATTGCAGTGAGAAGCTTATACACCACAACTAGAGAGTAGCCCTCACCTGCCACAGCTAGAGAAAGCCCGTGTATAGCAACAAAGATACCACACAGCCAATAAATAGGTAACAAATAAAATATATATATATTAAGAAAAGAAAAGAAAGTGAGCGGTGGTTTTGTCTAAGGCTGCACGGCGCTCCTGAACACTCTCAGGCAGTAGTGGTCAGGCAAAGAAACTTCACTGAATAAAGAAGTGCTGCTGCTGGTCCCTGTCTTTCTTACTTTACGTCTTCCATTTCTGCTTCAAGGGGAAGGGGAAGATCATTGGGAACCTTTTCCATAGTAGTTGCTCTTCAGTCACTAAGTTGGGTCCAGCTCTGTGTGACTCCATGACTGGCAGCAGGCCAGGCTTCCCTGTGCTTCACCATCTCCCACAGTTTGCTCAAACTCATGTACACTGAGCCATCCAACCATTTCATCCTCTGTCACCCCCTTCTCCTCTTGCCCTCAATCTTTCCCAGCCTCAGGGTCTTTTCTAATGAGTCAGCTCTTCGCATCAGGTGGCCAAAGTATTGGAGCTTCAACTTCACCATCATCCTTCCCATGAATATTCAGGGTTGATTTCTTTTAGAACTGATTGATCTCCCTGCTGTCCAAGGGACTTTCAAGAGTCTTCTCCAGCACAATTAGAAAGCATCAATTCTTCAGCACTCAGCCTTCTTAATGGTCCAACTCTTACAGCCATACCTGACTACTGGAAAAACCATAGCTTTGACTATAGGGATCTTTGTCGGCAAAGTGATATCTTTGCTTTTTAATACACTGTCTAGGTTTGTCAGAGTTTTTCCTTAGTTAAGGAAACTAAATGTTACTAGAAACACCAAGTCAAATTCCATGAGCTACAAAGGGGTTAATGCTGTCAAAGCGTAGTTATCAAAAAGTTAAAAATAGAACTTTCATACAAACATGGAGTGAACATCTGTCAAAAGTATTTTGTTAATATATTTATTTATTTGCATCAGGTCTTAGTTATGGCATGTGAACTCCTAGTTGTGGGATCTAATTCCCCAACCAGGGACTAAACCTGGGCCCCCTGCATTGACAGCACAAAGTCTTAGCCACTGGACCACCAGGGAAGTCTCTGTCAAAAGTTATAATGAGGAACCAATAACATGGTAAGGTTGGTTTCAAAGGCATTTCAGGAGTTTAGGCATTTAATGCTTAAAAAAAATATATATATATATATATACATATATATACATACATACATACACACATACATATATAAATATATACACATATATATTTGTTTTACCTCCAATCAAGTAAATATTTAATATTTTCAATTAAATTATTGGCATAAAAAGTCAAATAATACATATTTTTAAAATTGCTACCCACCCCTTCGTGGATTCATAGAATTATTAAAGGCATTTTCTCCTGGCTGACTGGTACTCACCTGAATAGGAGCTTCTTGATATTGTTTCTTCCATCCACACATCATCTTCTTGGTCAAAATGGAAAATCATTTCTGGTTCAGACAGCAGATGCCCTGCTTGAGGGGAAAGACACGTTGATTAAGGCAATGTGGTATGGACAAGGACCCTCCCACAAGTCAAATCTTATCTTCTGGTATTCATAAAAGGTGAATAAAACATTGGGAAAGGTGAATAAAACTGTTAGGCATCAAAACCACATTTTCTATTTATGTGTATTTTATATATATATATACACACACACACACACACACACACACACACACACACACACACACAGAGGCATGCAAACTCAGTGGCTCAGTCATGGCCAACTCTTTGTGACCTCATGGACTGTAGCCCACCAGGCTCCTCTCTCCATGGGATTTTCCCAGGGAGAATACTGGAGCGGGGTGTCATGCCCTTCTCCGAGGATCTTCCTGACCTAGGGATTGAACCTGAATCTCTTGTGGCTCCTGCACTGGCTGGCGGATTCTTTACCACTGAGCCACCTGGAAATCCCACATATATATATATACACACACAAACACACATACATATATAAATATATATACACAAAAAGACACAAATAAATAAATACATATTTTGCTTCTCAAAACAAATTGTTCTAGGAGTTCCAGGGAGCCTCAGTGAAGAGGCCTATTTGCAATTTCTGTGTGTGCTGAGTTGCTTCAGTTGTGTCCAACTCTTTGTGATCCTATGGAACTATAGCCCGTCAAGCTCCTCTGTCCATGGGATTATGCCCTCTTCCAGGAGATTTTCCCAACCCAGCAATCGAACCTGCATCTCTTACATCTCCTGCGTTGGCAGGTGGGCTCTTCACCACTAGTGCCATGTGGGAAGCCCTATTTACAATATACAACAGTAATAATTCTCAGTGGGTTGAACAGGCAGTAATGATTCTGTGCCCAAATTCGATACCCAGGTATTGAACCCAGGTCTCCTGCACTGCAGGCAGATTCTTTACCACCTGAGCCACCAGGGAAGCCCTGTCTTATCTCTTTAGTCTCCTTTAATTTGGATAGGAACTGGCATCTCTTGCCTTCATCTCAGGTATCTTTATGCTTTCTCAAATCTGATACCCACTACCATAAGGGATCAGGAATATGTGGACCTCTAAATGCAAATCCCCTCAGGATTTACTCCATACAACTGAACCAGCAGGAGATCAGGTGGGTTCTGGAAGATGTGATTCTCACCCAAGGAGATGAGATTCCCAAAGTTCTCCAACATCACTTCTCGGTACAGGTGCCTCTGAGAAGGGTCCAGATGCTCCCACTCCTCCTCGGTAAAGTCGACAGCCACATCCTTGAATGTCACTAGCTCCTAAAAGAACAAACGTGGTTATCCTCAGGTATACCCATTCCCACAGAGGAATGCAGCTGACGAGCACCAATGAATTCTGACATCTATATGTGGTCCTGGCAGTCTCCAGGGTCCTGAATCAGACTCACTTAGGCACACAACCATGCATCTGTTTGTATTATGTAGAACAGGGGTCCCCAACCTCTGGGATCTAATGCCTGATTATCTGAGGTGGAGCTGATGTAATAATAACAGAAATAAAGTACAATAAATGTAACGCTGCTCAAACCATCTTAAAGTCATCCCCCACCCCCACCCCACACAAGTCCATGGAAAAACTGTCTTCCATGAAACAGGTCTCTGGTGCCAAAAAGATTGGGGACTGCTAATATAGAACATGGAAAAGATAAAAGAGGCAGATTTAACAAAAAGAAAAAACAAAACTCTTCAGCCCTTAAAGTTTCTCTGGTAAGAAGAGTCAACTTCAACCAGAGTACATGAAAGACTATATAATTCCAGAGGTGCTATCCACACAACAAATCTCAATTTTGAGATTTACTCAGGGAAGGGTCTGGAGAGAGAATCTAGGGTAGACTGGGGCCAAGAGGGCAGGTACCCTGGAGAAAGCCAGGTACTAGCCTTGGGGGATGGTTAAAATGTGAATAGAGGAAAGTGGGGAGTTCCAGCTGGCAAGAAAAGGGAGCAGACAGTCGTGTGGGAAGGAGCAAGTCAAAGAGCTAAAATAAGGACTCTGGTTAACGAGACACGTTATCTAGGAAACCTCCCTCTGATGATTATATACTAACAACGTTTATTTTGGACTCTGACTTCCCATTCACACATCCACAGTAGAAAGATATACAAACTCTTGGTACAGTCGCATGAAGGATTAATATTCAGTAGCAGTTCCCAAAGTGTGGTTCAGGGACCCATGAAGATCGCCAAGCTCCTTTCAAGTGTGTCTGTACAGTTAATACTATTTTCAATAATAATTATAAGACATTATTGGGCTTATCCACTATCATTCTCTTACAGTTAAAGAGAAGAATTTTTCAGAGGCTACATGATGTGCAACAAAGAAACTGAGGAAGCAGATATAAGATTACAGCTGTTTTCTATTAAGGCAGACATTAAAGATGTTAGCAAAAATATAAAACATTTCCATTCTTAAAATATTTTTTTGTTTGGAAGATAAGGGTTTTTTTTAAATGTGATATTAACTATAATGGATTAATTTTTTAATGGATTAACAAATACTTTCAAGTTTTGTTAGTCTGAAATTCTGATCTGGTAATATTGATAACCCAGATAACAAAAGCCACTTTCAAAAGTGTAAAGGGGTCCTGATACCAAAAAGCTTTGGAAATTACTGCTCTACAAGAAACGAAAATAAACTGTATATACATGAAATGACATAGATCGATCTCACAACAAATATTCAGAAAAGACAGGCACAGAAGAGTACTGTATGTATCCAGCTTCTATTTAAAAAGTTCAAAATCGTATGAAAAGTCAGAATAGTGGCTGTCATTATGGGGAAGCAAAACAAAACAAACCCCTAGGGAGGGGTTTGTTCAGAGCATAAAGAGAAGACACAGAATGGCTATGAGGGGCAATCAAGGATGGTGCAAGGATCAGACAACAGAAGGGTATCACACCGCAGCAGCCTGGTCTCTGGTCCATTTTTGGCCTAAATGTTAAGCCTGCCAAATAAA